CTGCCATAACCACTTTACATCCAAGAAGACCCTGGTCATTTAGGACTTTCATTACATCTTCGACGTCAGCTTTGTCATTACAGTCGTCGATAAGGACTACCACTTCGCCCTGGTGATCCACACAGTAATCGTTAATTAACCTTGGTGACAAATCCTTCTGCTTTTGAAGCATTTGACACCAAGCTGCCTCTCCAATGCTTCTAGTTTGGAGAATGGTCCTGCACGATAAAACAAAGACCAACTTTGACTGCTGTAAAACAGCACTTTTTTTCTTTTCTACCCAGTCGTTAGCCATCTTATAGAGGATGGTGGTCTTACCACTTCCGACTCTCCCCTGCAAAAGAGCATGACCTGACAAATCAGATATGTTATCAGACAATAGTTCGTTTATTGAATCCAACCTGTATTTTACAGAGCTACCTTTGATGTACGAGATACCAAATAATTCTGGCGATGTAAATAAATCATCCATCGGAGCGAAGCTGGCATCGTCTCCTGAAGGCCATGACATAGTGGGAAGCCTGCACGCGGTTGTTCTGATAAACTGTTTGACTTCTTCTACCAGTCTTAGGAAGTGCAATTCTGGATCTAAACACAATAAGAGATAAACAGTGGACACTTTAACAACGCAAGGATATGTTGAAAACATGTTGTTGTTTTTTTCGATTGCATTTTTAAATGTTAATTTAACATTAAACATGATAAAATTAACAATTGTTGACTGCTGTGAGGTGGGGTATGGCGTTTTGAACACGCGAGAGGGGGAAAAGCACTCAAGGCGAAGCTAAGGGTGCTATGCGCCCAGATGTATAATTGTTTTGTTTTACCTCTGTCTTGGATTTTTCAGATTTTGATGTACAAATTACGCAAACAAACAGGAGTAAAAGCAACATTTATGACAATTATTTATTGAACGTCGACTCGCATGCATGTCGCGTGCTCGAAACAGCTGATCGACTGCTCGTTCGCTGCTCCCACTCAAGTGTGAAAACATGGCGACAGGCACTTAAGTATACTGTTCGAAACGTTGAGTCCGGTTCTTTGCAGAACCACACATACTCACAAAAGAGATTTATTCACATGGTGAACAAATGTCTTCAACATGGTGAAAGTAGCGTATGGTGACATGACATATTTTTGTTTGACAACCTACTCCTGTTGTCAAACAAAGATGACCGGCTGAGGGAGAACAAAGTCACATACCTGTGTTACCAACCTCTTCGTAGCTTCCTTGCTCCCGATCACCAGCTTTTTTGTAGCTTCCTTGCTCCTGATCACCAGTCGAGCATCGTCTGCGACATTTCCGCACCAAGCACACACCAACAGCCACAATGACGATCATAGATAAGCAGACACAGATGACTATAACTAGTGTAGCAGGTGTATACTGGGTCGCACCTGTCGATATAAATTACAAAATAATAGCGGGTTGTTGCCTTGAATTAAAATATTTTGATATTAATTAGTGTTTGCCATAGCTAGATTGCCAAATCTCAGGGCTGGTCTGTGTTTTCTATGTGAAATGCAAGATTACCCTTTGTACTTGCATTGTCCTTAAAAGTGGACGGCACCCTTTGAAAGGGGCTTTTTTAAAGACATAGTGCGTTGATTAGTGGACAAAATCCGTCATCCGTTCCTTTCAATCAATTTCAAATACAATTAAAGAATTTTTCGTCTTATATTTTGTTTTAATTCATGTGTACTTACTTTTGATGATAACATCAACGTAGGATCTCTGCAACACATCACGGTAGGGAAAGACGTGACACCAGTACCTCACGTCAGAATCTTGGAGACACTTGTTCAGGAGGAGATTTCCTGCAGATGTTATGCCGAAACAGCCGCTGCCTCCAAGCTGCGACATTTGCGGTGTACCAGTTGGTAGATTTTGCCAACCAATTATGGTGGTCGTTGTCGCTTTTGGCGGGCCATACGACCAGATCACTGTTGACTTATTCATACCGATGGCATTTGTACCAGAGTGACAATTTAGTTCTTGTATATTAGAAGGGTCAAAGGTTACGGTGATATTCATGATGACTGTCCCGTTATCCAGAGGAAATGTGTCACCTATTTTAAGAATGCATGAGAACAAACCATAGTGCATGAAACTTTAATTTACAACTCTGGGTTTTGAAAACAAACCGCTTATTTGTGATAATACGTGCATAGTTCAGGTGATTATTTAATCAAATCTGTTCTGATTTAAACAAAAATGCACACATGTAATGAAAGTAAACTCTATAAGTGTATATGCAAAATATATACAGATAAGTACGATTATTCGAGATTATGAAAATACAGCATAATTCAAATTTAATGTATTTGCCAATCAACATAATAGCATTATTTAAAATCATAATTATGCGTGGCGTACCGAATACATGAACGTCGATTGTTCCCTCGTGTGTGGAATTGCTGTCCATGATACACATATACCTTCCTGCATGTGTGTCATTAACGGATTTGATAGACAAACCAAAACCATCACCGACACCGAATCCAGGATAGGCGTTAGTGCCATCAGTCGACAGGGAGTAATTGAGGATGAGATGTCGACCCAACGAGGTGTCGACTTTAAACCACTGTACCAGGCATAAGTGACCACCGGGCGTCCATGCAATGCAGGGAATGGTTTGATTTCTTCCCTCCTGAAGGTAGAAAGATGTGGCCGATGCTTGTAGACGGTAGTCAGTAGGATTCTCCTCTGGAAAAAAAAAACCAGGATAAGTCAATCATAGTAAAACTGGTCTCAGAGAACACACAATTCAATTCAACTGGCTATTCTTACAAGTCTGTTCCTACATCATGTGTACAAATTGGGCTGGCTATAAAAGAGCTGGTGAAAAGGGAACACTAGGCTTGATATCTACAACCAGGAGGAAAATGCTGTCTTTGTAGCACTCCACTAGAGTAGATTGTTTTTGATATATAGGGGTTTCATATGTGAACTATGACATTAACCTACCTTCAATATGAACATCGTAGAAGCAGTTGCGCTCTGGAACATTTGCCATGAAGACGTGACACCAAAAACGGGTTGCTTTACTAAGTCCACTTAAAAAGTTGATTGCGAGGGAAGAATCGTTATTAATACTGTAATCTCCGCCATCCTGCAACTGAACCAAGGTACCATCAGAGAAACGTGCACCAATGATCTGTGTCTCTATAGTGACGCCCTCTCCTCTTGACCAATACACTACGGATATGTGCGCATCTGGCACCTGTGACGCGCATTCACACGGTAGCGTCTGTCTGCGTCCTCGCTGGAAAGTTGCATTTGATGACGCGTACGTGGTGCAGGCTGGAAAGGTGTCACCTGGAATCACGTAAAAGAATTGAACTGTTATGAACAGTTGACTGTTATGTACAAGAGGAGTATGGGTTCAAATAAATAATATTCCATGTACGCAAAGTAGTAACCAACACTGCCTTAACCGTACATGTAATCAGCCAACATGCAAGATAAAAAAAAATGAGCGCAATGTAACAATTCGACATGAACACAACATTGACCGTAGCTTAGGCTTTTTACGTCGGTCAATTTTATGTTTTTGCCTCATCTCCTTTTTTTATTATTCTTGCCGTCACGTACATTTTTTTCTAATGGTGTTAACGGAAATACATATGGGACTGATCTGAACGTAGTTTGTGAGTGCAGACAGCTCTGCCGATGAAAATCGATAAAGCCACTGCCTGTGATGTTGTTTGAAGGGCCCATGTAATGTGAATATATCTTTGGTTACATTTAAATGTATTTTTAATCTTCACATTGCCATTTTAAAAACAAATTTGGTGCCTTTTTATGCTAATGACAATTTTCATATTCTGGGGCATATTCTGTAATGTCTTTCGAGAGAGTATTAGTTTCACATGCTTCAGCATAAAAAGTCAGAAGACGTTTAAGCATTTTCCCTGACTAATTTTCTATTTCCAATGCTTCATTGTTATTTCAGTAAAGGACAGCATGATGAGGACACTGTACGCAGGAAATGTTTTCAACAGCAGAATTTGGGATTTACAAATACAAACGAAAAAAAAAACATAACCGAAAGAGCGTGTTCCTCAAGTAAAATCACAGCAACAACGCCCACAATTGTCAGGAAAAGCATGAAACATTTGGAACGTTTGAAAAAAATGCACTTCAAATTTGTTTTTGGTAAGGGATATGTTTCATAATTTGTAAGCATTCCAGATGTTCCGGGAATGGATATGCTCCAGGGTAAAATTTCAGGGACCCTTTATTCATCGACTTGTTTACTTTATATTACTGGTCTACGTTAATAATTCAATTTCAGTAATTTATTTGTTCAAACCGTGACGCTTCGTTGCTTCCAGCTGTCTGCCTGCATCACCCGAAAACCAGTTGGAATCTGTAAGTCTCTTGACAAGCGTCGGGAATGAGTGAGTATGTACTAGTTCTTTCTAGTCTGGTTCCTATAGACCAGAAAATGCTGACCATTTCTGATGAATCTTGGGTCAGGTAACCACTACAATATATATATAACGGCACGTGACCAAAGAAAAAGGCCGAAATTTGCCGAATGCATTTCGTCGACAATCTCGGATGGCGCCCGGGTATTTTGGGGTATAAAATAGGTTATATTTACCTGCCATGGTTTTTACAAATAACTAAATAAATAAATAAATGACTGGGTTTGTGTTGCTCTGGGGAGAAACTAGTCTGGTTCCTTGACCTGGCAATTCCTCAGCCCCAAGACGTCTTTTTTAGCAAACTAAACACACTTCATATATCACACGGTTTATATTTTGAAAGAAAAATTTAAGTTGAGCTGCACTCATCAAAGTTAGGGACCAAAATAGAAGGTAAATCCGAAATGGAGACGACGACGAGTTTTGCAACGCAGCAAAGCTCGCCCTGTGCTGTACGCCTTTTTGTTGTGTATGCCTTCCATACACAGGCGTGCCATACTCATGCTTGGAAGGGCATCGCGCATGCGCCTACCTGGCTGAACCTTGTGGCAGCGGGCTGTGTTTTTCGTGTTCGCGCAGTCTCGACAACTATGTAAATAGAACGTCTAAATTATGAGTGTTCTTAGAGTTTCTTGCCTTTTGTTCTGCATCCACATGTCCTTATGTAAGTTGACATCATTTGTTTTGCTCTCAGATAGTTAGAGTAGATGATTTGGGTGCTTAAATTGTGGAATTCTTGTGGGATAAATTTAAGCTTCTTTTCTTGTATAAGCCATGTTATGTCTCGTAGATTCTCTACATGTATCGTTGTTAGGCTTCGTGTTATGATTATTTAGAGTCCCCTTTTATTACTTGTTGCAGGAGTTACACATTATTCTGCAGTTTGGACAGACGTCGTGGAAGAGTATGCTAGGTTTTCTAAACCTTGTGAGTGTTAACCTTTGAAGTTTGTCAATGTTTAAATTGTTACTGTTTATATTTATCTTGTTTAAATTATCGTTAGAAGCCTAACTTTGGTTCTATTCTTGTGCGACCCTTGACATGCTCTATATTGTGTATTGTATAATGCGTTGTTATAATCATCTCAACTGCACACACATTGTTGAAGGGCCTACATTTATGGATTGTTTTTACAGCGTGATTACATGACACATCCATAGAGCTTCTGATTTTCCAGGAAGATTGGAAATCCACAAGTCTGTAAGTTTTTGTTGACTGGACATGGTAGCTATTCATTTCATGTACACATACCTGTAATTATTTTGGTTTCACGGAATTTCTCACTATTTTGGATTCCCGATGTATTTGATTGTTTTGTATGATCACATGAGGATGTATCTGTCTTTTTCTTAAACTGTGTTAGGTCTTTATTGAATCCTTACTTTTTCATATATATGTACATGTACCATGTAGACATGCATAACCGATACAAGTTTTTTTGTATTTTTCTTACAGTTTTACCGTATCTAGGCAAGGGAGTAGTTCTGGATTAAAGATGAGTAATTTCAACTCAAGTGTCTTCCAGTTTACTTCTTAGTGCCGTGTGGTTAAACTACTGGATAGGGGCTTTCTCGTTTTGCTTCGAGGCCAGTATACGCCCCTCGTACGATCCGAGTTCATACGTGATGCACAACATCGTCATTGTGTTTCGAGTTTTCCAAATGCAATCAATAAATATTAATTATAACTACTTTTAATTTGTTGGCAACCAAACACGAATAACTAATAACTACTGTTTTACTGTGTATTTCGTAATATGATTACTGACGGACTAGCTGTTAATGTCAAAGTCCTTACCGATAACCTGAATATCCGTCTTGTCGTCCCTCGCACTCGTAGAGCGAGGCACAACTTGACATATGTATCTCCCTGCATCACTCTCTCTGGCATCCTTGACGACGAGACTAACCTCTGACAAAAATGTGTATCGATCGCTGATTGGAAAGTATTGGTTGTTGGCGTAACCGTTAACGACTACTTTGTTGGGATCGGAAACGCTTTGTCCCCAGAACCAGTACACTGCGAGCAGGTTCTCCCCGGAACGATAGGATCGACAGGGAATGCGGTGCCACAACCCGAGTTGGAAGTTCCCTTGATTGTTGGCATCAAAGAAGACATCTTGGACCTTTGTTTCTATGAAATGACAATGGTCGTAATTTAAGAGATCCTGCAAGACAAAATATAAATCCAGGACAGTTTCAAGTGTGAAATGCATGTACTTATGTACACGCAATCAACGATGGACCTTGAAGAATAGAGGATGGGACATTTTAGAAATGCCATTGCATTAGGAATGGCAAAGACAAAGAACACTATACAGGTCATCTGTGGTACATACCATAAGCACATGTAGGTGCACATGGTAGTGACTGGGAATGCAGCAAGATGGAAGTAATGTGTTTAAGAAATATCTTTTCTTTTTGAAATGTTAGACAATTGATGGCCTTCTAGGTTAAAGCCTACATGCATTATGAATGATCGAAAAAATATCGTGTTGGCGTAATGTTTAATGGGGCCAGCCTGAAGATATCTTTGTGCCTGACTGACACACAGACACAATGCAGCATGTGCATGTGTATTTGCCTGCAATCGGGGACCCCCTATTGTTCTGTTTAAACTTCAACTTTTTAGGAAGACCTCCCATATGTTTTAAACGTTTGCGATCGGAAATTGGGGACCTTTGGGAATTGGGGACCCCATTGTCCTCCATTGTTCAACGTCCCCTATTGAATGCAGAAACAGACTCACTGAATCACAACTTAAGACTTGCTGAAGACTTGATTAATGTTCGCACTGTCTGACTGTCACTTGCGGATTAACAGGGTTACCTTATTCCATCACAGCTTATTATGTACATTTGACAAAATGTTTTGTGCTGTCGGACCCGGTAGTTACAAGACTGTGGATGTATATTGTTTGTTTTATTTCGATGTAATATCGAGACTAAAATGATAAACAATATTCATTTACCAGAACTGGCTGGGCATGTTTTACTCTCAACAGTACACAACCCAAATATGAGGAAGAAGAGCGAAACAAACATGTCCACGGAGTCCATACGCTCGTTCGCAAGCAGACCTATAGAAGGAATGGAACACCAAGTGCATCATTGATTAAAACATGAACTGGTTTCTCTTTGTTGCCTTCGCTTGGTTTACGTTTTCATACTTCATACACATTTTATTTCACTATACATCCTCGAACGTATGTACAGGTACCCTTAACATTTTCGTCAGAATTTTTATAGCCATAGCTAGCTATGCCCAAACATAGAGCTAGGAAAGAACATAGAGGCACATTGTGAACATAACATATGTTGAAGATCATTATTACTACACGGGATAAATAGTCAGTGTGAAATGAATTGGAGGGGGCAACAGTCAGGCACTTACCAGTTTTTATACGATGTTCAAGAGTATCTCACAACACTATCTGAGGTTGACCTCACACGTTCAAATTGATCTTTGTCCTGGTAACTGCAAAAGTTAAAATTTCGCTTATAACCAATTTCGTTTATAACCCTAAATGTAAATGGCTACGTGGAGCATCAATGGTAATGCATACATCAATATGGTAATGTATATAAAAGACATGCACATAGACATACGCCCAGTATACGGGTCCAAGGGTCCGTATTTACGGTAGCTGTTATATCAACAGTCTTTAATTTATGTCGGGGCTGCAACAGACTGTAAAGGGAATTGCCATCTGGCTATTTCTACATAGACCTACATGCAGCAATTGAAAACAAAATACTAATAAAACGGGGAATAACACCTTTGAATATTAATGGTTCGCATTCGACGAATAAAATTATGGCATTTTAAGAGTTCAATGTTGAGGCCTACTTAAGGACAACAAATGTTAAAAAAAATGTTTAAACACTGCCAATAGTATTAATAGAAAATGTAATATTTGTATTGCACATTATCGGCATTTTACTCATCCCAGAGAGGCCACCTTGTAGTCTTATAATGAGGCACCTAACTGATGATTACCAACTCAATGATTCCAACTTATGAATTACCTTTGCATACGTCTTGCATTGGCCGACAAGTTTGAAATAGGGTTACCAAGAAGCAGTGGCGTAGCTACCGGGGGGGCGTGGGGGGGGGGGGGCGACCGCCCCCCATGAAACCTTGTTGCCCCCTCAGTCGCCCCCCTCCCCCACTGAGATTGTGAGTTTCTAAAAAAAACTATCATTGATCTAAATCTAAATAGTCGCGAATGATCCACATGATGACCACTGAGAAAAGACCCTTCGACCGGCGACCGCGGACCAGTAAGCTGACAACCGGCGTGACATAGCACATAATGATAATATAAAATGCGTATTAACACCCACTGCACTGCTCGCTCACACCATGGAACACGTATTATAGGTGGTCCGTCGGTCACACAGTTTCAGTCAGCGATATCACGCGAATCGGCCACGCACAAACTTTTTCCTCCATTCATATAAGTTAAATAATAATAATAGACCAATTAAAATTCCTTAAAATCAGTGGCGTAGCCACGGGGGGGGGGGGGGAGTGGGTGGGGGGCGACAAACCTTGTTGCCCCTCCCATTCGCCCCCCCCCCTGAGATTTTGAGTTTCTAAAAAAAATATCATTGATCTACATGACGCCATTGGCGTCAATTCTGGGGGGGCAGGGGGACTGGTCCCCCCCCCCACTTTTTGAAGGGTGGGGACACAATATCAAATGCCCCCCCCCCCCAGATTTTTGAACTCGAGTCTCATTTACAAGGCCCTATTATGTACTACAATGTATCTTTTGCTTAGAAAATGTTGGTTAAAGTGGTCAGAAATTGCCTCAGATAGCACCACAGAGCATTTAGAATCCAAAATGTTTCGGGGCCCTTCAGCTGGCCCCGAACCACACGCATATAGCTCAGAATTCTGGTAGCTGATTCAATGACTCCAACCTCGAAAACAATGTTCAAAAAATGTTCTTATGTCTTTAGCTGAGAAAACCTCGAAAATTGTGTTTAAATTATTATCTTTTGTGCTACGATAATTATTGGTTAAAGTGGTAAGACATTGCCTCAGATCACACTACAGAGCATCGAGAATCCATGTTTTTCGGGGCCCTTAAGCGGGCCCGAACCCCGCGCCTATAGCTCAGAATACCGATAGCTGATTCAATGACTCCAACCTCGAAAACGATGTTCAAATAATAATCTTTTGCTAAGAAAATATTAGTTAAAGCATGGAGAAAAGTAGTAAGAAATTGCTTCAGATCACACCACAGAACATTTGGAATCCAATTTCCCCCCCCCCCCAACCCCCCACGCCGTAAGGGCTTCGCGCTTCGCGCTCGCATCAGTTCTGATCAAGGTATGTCCCCCCATCCACACTTTTGAGAAGCGATTGACGCCCCTACATGACGCCCCCCCCCATGAAATGTTCCAGCCCCCCCCCCCGGCGCCCCCCCCCCCAACTGAAAAATTCCTGACTACGCCACTGTCAAGAAGTGCCAATGAATAGGCTGAATCCGGCTTATTGTACAGGTAACACGCATGCGTGAACAGACTTCAAATGAAATAAACCAGTCTGAACAGATTGCCAAGAGTTTGTTCACTTAAGTTTTATTGGTTACGGTCTTGTTTTCCTCTGAGATATAAATAATGAATTAAAAATGTTACTTCGAATTACCACAGTTCTTGGAAACTAACTATTGAAGCCTAAAGATATTGATTTTGTCATTTTTTTTTCCTTTGTTAGGTTTCAAATGAGACAACTGTATCTGCGTTATTATCTCTCCAATGTTTCACATATAGGTAGGCCTACCGTGTGATTTATTATTGCAAATATACATTACTCATAAATATTCCATGTACTTCACATTTGAACTCAAAACCTGATTTTGAAATCTTAAAACTTCCTGCTAACCCAGTTACCTCTGTCACAGTTGGAGCCTGTATTGGTTTCTGTTTCGCCAATAGGCATATCCAAACCAAAAGTGTATAAGCTTTTATTTAATTTCATCTTGCAATCGTTTATGCAATGGCATGTGCAGTATAAACTACATGTCAAAATGTATTAATTTCTCTTTTTTGCACAGAAGAAGAAAGTTGCGGTGAACTACCTACAGAAATATTCGATACTTCAAAATTTACTTCCATTTGGAGATATGGGTAATTTATATCGCCTCATGGTAATTGCAATTTTTCTGCAGTTTACAGGTAAGTTAGACATGTTTGTGGCCATCTCGTTTCATGTTTTTAGCGATGGAAATGTGAAAGCAAAACTGCGATTCTTTTACAGCACACTTAAATTTCCCACCTCTGTTCCGTTTCCCTTACAGGACTAGCTCTATCCACATCAATTCGAATACCCCCTGAAAGACAACGCTCTGTAGTCGTCGGCACAGTCGTAAACATTACGTGCGTTATTAACAGCTCTGATAACCACAGTGTCGTGCAGATGACGTTCTACCATAACTTGATTCATTCTTGCAACAACTCGGAATTAGTTGGTACTGGCTCGTCAGCCCGACAGTGTAGTCATGTTATTGGACCAGTTAATGAAACACATCAAGGCAACTACACATGCAAGTACTACCCACCTAGTGGACCGTGGTCAACGATGCA